AGGAGAATAGATGAATGAGAGTACAAAATGCTAACAGGTTAACAATGTTCCCAGCAAATATACGGTATACAAATCAGAAAAGACCTGAAACCGGGGGAAAATAAAGGGAAAGAAAGAAAAAAGAAAGAAAAAAAAAGAAGAAAAAGAAAAAGATAAAAACAAACAAAACAGAACAAAACAAAAAAAAACAGAATATGATCAAATATGATCAGGGTAGTGCATAGATCAGTGCCACACACTAGATTTTGGGCGTATTTTGGTCTGTTAGAAGAAAGTGCCTCCTAAAATTTTAAAGGAAGAAAGACTTATATGTACAAAATAAGGGTTGATACAATGAAGGGATGGAAGATGACTGTAAAGATGAAAATTATAAAAGATTTTATAAAAGGAATTGAGAAGATAAGAAGTTGTTTGAAAAAAGAAAGAAGATTTAATAAAGGGAAAAAAAAGGGAGAGAATGTGATCAGGTAGGCGACTAGAACAAAGCCATACACTAGTCATTTAGGGTATATTTTGATCTGTTAGAAGAAACTGTATCTCAAAATTTTAAAGAGAGAACAACTTATATATATATGCCAAAAATAAGGGTAACTACTCTGAAGGGTTAAAATATAACTCTAAAAATGAAAAATAAAAAATGTTTTTTTAAAAAAGGGATTGATAAGATGTTGGTTGAAAAAGGGAAAAAGAAAAATTAAAAAAAAAAACAGTTAAAAAAATTAACTTTGGAAAACTAATGAATCATGGTAAAAAAGCCATGAATTCTATGTGCAGCATTCCCCTAGCACTGGAGTTCTCCCGTTCTTGATCAGTAAACTTGGTCTTGGCTTGCTCTCTGTTCGTGTTGATCTTCTGGGGGAGGGGCCTTTTGCCGTGGTTCCCAAATGTCTTTGCCGGAGGCGGAATTGCCCCGCCCTTGTCGGTCCGGGGTAAGCAATCTGCTTGGGTTTGCTCCCAGGAGCTTTTGTTCCCTGCAAGCTCTCAGTACAGCTTTGGAGGACCAGAGTGAAAATGGTGGCCTCCCAATCTCCACCCGGAGGAGCGGAGAACTCGGGGCCCTGCTCCTCAGTGCGCCCCCAGAGAAAAGCAGTCACTCCCGTCTCCCAGGTCTCTGGCCGCACTCCGTGCTCACCTGGCCTGTGACTGAGCGTTTCTATCTCTGGCACCCGACCCCATGTGGAGTCTTCAAACCCAGCAGATCCCTGCGGTGCAGTCCCGCGCTGCTCCTCCCAGGGGAGGAAGGGGAGTCTCCCGAGCTCTGCTGCTTGTTGGGTCCCTGCTGGAGGAGTAGTGGCCCGACTGGGCCGCGGATCACGGTTTACGGCAACCCCGAGCTGAGAGCCCGCGCCTCGGCTGCGTCTCTGCAGCCGGCTTCCCCGCTCCGATACCTGGGAGCTCTCCCGCACTCAGGCACCCCCGGTCTTTCTGTGACCCCGAGGGTCCTGAGACCACACTGTCCCGCGAGGGTTCCACCCCCAGATTAGCCACTGGAGCGACGTCCCTCAGCGGAGCCGACTTCTAAAAGGTCCGATTTTGTGCTCCGTGGCTCTAGCACTTGCCAGAAGTGGCGGACGGAGGCCCCCTCCCCCGTCGTCTATCCTCCCGAATATCGCCTCGGATTCACTTCTCCGCACGTCCTACCTTCCAGTAAGTGGTCGCTTTTCTGTTCAGAGAGTTGTTGCTATTCTCTTCGATCTCCTGTTCAGTTCGTAGATGTTCAGAATGGTTTGAGCCCTATTCAGCTGAATTCCTGAGACCAGACGAAATCCAGGTCTCCTACTCCTCCGCCATCTTGCTCCGCCCCCCTTGCACTTTATTTTTTATTGAAGTGTAACTAACATATAATGTTACATTAGTTTCAAATGCACAGCAATCCTGTACATCACTCAATACTCACCATGATAAGTGTGGTTAGCGTGCAATGTTATTACGTACATATAACGTTATTACAATATTATTATATACACACGACATACATACAACATTGTTACCATATTATTGACTATATTCCTTATGCTGTTCTTTTTATTTTATCTCCATGACTTTTTTATAACTGGAAGTCTATATCTCTTAATCCTTTTTATCTATTTTGCCTATCTCCCCACCTGTCTCCCATCTGTCAACCATCAGTTTTTCTTTGTATTTAAAAGTCTGATTTTGGGGGCACTTGGGTGGCTCAGTCTGCTGGGCATCCAACTCTTGATTTCTGCTCAGGTCATGAGATCAAGCCCCACATCGGGCTCTGTGCTTAGTGGGGAGTCTGCTTTAGATTCTCTCCTTCTTCTCCTGCCCCTCCTTCCCTTCCCAAATAAATACATAAATAAAAATCTTTAAAAAAAAAGTCCGTTTTTTGTTTGTTTTGTTTTTTGAATTCCATATATAAGTGAAATCACATGGTGTTTGTTTTTCTCTCTCTGACTTATTTCACTTAGCTTAATGCCCTCTAGGTCCATCCATTTTGTCCCAAATGGCGAGATCTCATTCTTTTTTATGACTGAGTAATATTCCATTATATGTGTGTATTATATATGTGTGTGTATATATACACCACATCTTCTGTATCCATTCATCTGTTGCTGGACACTTAGGTTGCTTACTTATCTTGGCTATTGTAAATAATGCTGCAATAAACATAGGGGTGCATATATCTTTTCAAATTAGTGTTTTCATTTTCTTTGAGTAAATATTCAGTAGAGAAAATACTGGATTATATGGTTTCTCTATTTTTAATTTTTGGAGGAACCACCATACAGTTTTCCACAGTGGCTGAACCAATTGACCTTCCCACCAACAGTGCATGAGGGTTCCATTTACTCCACATCCTCTCCCAACACTTATTTGTTGTGTTTTTGATAGTAGCCATTCTGACTGATGTGAGGTGGTGTCTTATTGTGGTTTTGATCATCCCTGATGATTAGTGATACTGAGCATCTTTTCATGGGCCTGTTGGCCACCTGTAGTCTTCTTTGGAAAAGTGTCTATTGAGATCCTCTGCCCATTTTTTAATCATATCATTTGTTTTTTTTTGTTTTTTTTGTTTTTTTTTTTTTAGTGTGGAGTTGTATAAGTTCTTTATATATTTTGGATACTAACCCCTTATTGGATATATCATTTGCAAATGGGAAACATTTAGTAGGTTGCCTTTTTGTTTTGTTGATGGTTTCCTTTGCTGTGCAAAAGCTTTTTATTTTGATGTAGATCCAATAGTTTATTTTTGTTTTTATTTTCCTTGCCTGAGACCTCCTATATTTTTGTAGTATCCTTCTAGCTCTTCTCCCTACTTTCAGTATATATTCCTTTGTATTCAACAGCTATTTGATTGTCAGAATGAGTTTTCCAGAAAATTTGGTTGTTATATTCCCTTCTTTAAAACGTGTTAATTTCTTCTTGTTTTCTATGGAATAAAGTTCAGCTTCTTAATGTAGCCACATGATCTCCTCTGAGGTTCCTGTTGAGTTACTCCTGATGCTGTTTTTTGTTAGACCACGTATATTCACATTGTTATACCTTTTTTCATGATATCCCTTCTTCTTAGAGTACTCTTTATTTTCCTTCCTTTTTCTGATTATTATAGTAAAAAGCTTGTCATCTGATAGTTCAAACTACAGAAGTATATTGCCTGTATTTTGATTTATATTTAATATAGATCAGAGGCCAGCCCCTCAAGATAATGGGTTAGCAGGCTGTCAGAAATTAGCATGTTTTTAATATTACCTGTTTTAACCTATGTGTGAGTACTGAGAGGATGCTGGAGTTGAACCCGTAGCTGAAGTTAGACAGTGAAGGCTCTACCCAAACTCAAAACCAAAAGAAATGACATTCTGTATTAGTCAGGATTGGGTCCATTCGTAAGTAACTGAAAAATTGAACAGTGGCTTAAATAAAACAGAGGGTTATGTATCTTTCACTGAAATTTCCAGAGATATGCAGTCCAGCACCACTGTGGCAGCTCAGTTCCATGAAGTCCTCAGGGACTTAAATTCCTTTTGGCTCAGGGCACCTGGGTGGCTCAGTCGTTAAGCATCTGCCTTCAGCTCAGGTCATGATCCCAGGGTCCTGGGATTGAGCCCTGCTTCGGGCTCCCTGCTCAGCAGGAAGCGTGCTTCTCCCTCTCCCACTCCCGCTACTTGTGTTACCTCTCTCGCTGTGTCTCTCTCTGTCAAATAAATAAATAAAATCTTTAAAAAAAATTCCTTTCAGCTCTTTGCTCCACGTTCCTGAGGGTGTGTTCCTTGGGCCCATAGTGCCAAGTAGCATTTGTTTTCTAGGCAAAAGAATCGACCCAGAGACAAAGAAGGAGGCAAAGGGTACACTCTGGCTGTCTTTTAAGGATGATTCCCAGAAGCTGCCATAGACTATTTCTATCCCATCAACTAGAACTTAGCCATATACTCATTCCTAAGTACTATGTACACAGTTAAAAATTCTTTTACTGAGGTGCCTGGGTGGCTCAGTCGGTTATATGTCCAACTCTTGATCTCAGCTCAGGTCTTGATCTCAGGGTTGTGAGTTCAAGTCCTGCATTGGGCTCCATGCTGGGTGTGGAGCCTACTTAAAAAAAAATTCTTTTACTATGGAAGAAGAGGAGAATGGATTTTGAGGGATAAATATCAAAGGATTCATACAAACTCTTTAGTCTGATGTTGAGTCTGCACTTTTTTTTTTTTTTGGTCCTTTTTCCTCTTACTTACCACATAAACCCTATATACCAGCAAAAAGTCTTCCTGTTACCCTTGACTGGAAATGATTGTCTCCTCATCTACATCTTGTGGCACTGTTAATCTGTATTGTAAAATTATTATATGCTGAACTGCATTGCTGTCATTTTTCTGCATATGTAGCTCCCCTAAATCATAAGGTCTCACCACAGTGTAAATTCCCGAGGACAGTGACCATGTCTTATATGTCTGCAAGGCCTGGGCTAGTGTCTTATAAATAATGGGTTAGCAATAAAATTTTCTTATATGGCAAATAAATAACTTTGATTTGGTTTCTTCTAGAATTTTAGGAAAGGAAGATGGATCAGCCTAGTGGAAGGAGTTTCATGCAAGTATTATGTGAAAAATATAGTCCTGAAAATTTCCCTTACCGTCGTGGTCCTGGGATGGGAGTCCATGTCCCAGCCACACCTCAGGGCTCTCCTATGAAAGGTAAGAAAGATGTGACTTAAAACATTTACTTACTGGAACTTAGTACTTAGGACCTCAAACCAGAATATTGTCTTGTTTGCAGATTATTTCCTTTATTTCGGAATTAGAGTTGCATAGTCTCCCTTGTCATGACTTAAATTTTTTGAAACACAAAAGGATTTCTTTTCCTCCTGACTGGCCAGAAGGCATCTTAGTTGCACAGGACACGATATTTGAGTGGTAAGGTTTCAAATACGTGTTCTGTCGAGGAACTTAGAGGATGCAAGACAGTACAAGACTGGTCTGTGTCCTCAAAAACCTTACAGCCTGACTGGATTACAAGATATTCACATTTACAGACATATAACACAAGGCAACTTATGTTGAACCAAATGATTGGGACAAAAATTTCGGAGTTAATTAGTATGATCAGGAAAGGATTCAAAGCTATGAGACTCGAACTAACCCTTTAAGAATATAGAACTTGGTTAGAGGGGAGATCTAGACATTCTAGGAGAAAGGTTATGGTGTGAGAGAGATCTACAACATGGAGAAATGTGCAAGGTGTGTCTCTCACTTACATCTTAGCCTCATTTGTATTTAATAGTTCTTAGAAGTAGTTCTTTGTGAGTATGGGAGATCAGGATGGAACAGTGTTTTAGTTCTTGTGTTCCTTGATACAACTGGTCTTACCACTCCATATAAACTGGAATGGCAGAAAGAGGTAGATTTCTTACTTGGTCATTTCTTTTTCAGGATCCATTCCCATTCTGAAAAATTTGATAGAGAAAAGTACTGAGTTGAAAAATTATGTAATTTGAGGCCTGCATGAATAAAATATTTCCTGAGTCCTTATTTTATACCAAAGAGGGAAAAAGTGGTTGAATTCTCATGTCTATCCTTTCTAAGAGGACAAACGTGGTTATTGACACATGTGTTTTTGAATCAGGCAGTAGTTTACCCCAGTTTGACCAAATTCATTAAATAGTTTAAGACTCTGAAACAGTTTCTCCCACTACAATTATGTATTTTTAAAAGTCTGATTTTCATAAGGGACATATTCTATGTGGATATGAAATAGAAATGATTGATAGACAAGAAAGAGACCTAGATTTTTAAATGGATCCACTTAAGCAAGGAAGATTTCTTCAATGATATGAATTTGAGGAACAGAAGTGGTTTCATAGTAGACCATCTAATGGTTTGAGATAATTTTCAAGGGCAGCGATAGGTGGAAATATACATCAGACAAAAAGAGAGCTCTCCAGAATGATACTTTTGAACTCAATTTAAAAAAAGAAAAAATTGAGGCCAATTAGAAGACAGTGGGAGTCCAGATGAATCACATGTTCTAGTGTTCAGATGATGAGATGACAGCAAGGATCATAGTTGTATTGTTGGTAGTTGAGATCAACCATCCTGCCAGAGGTAAAGCCTCCAAGACTTTTTTGGTCGTACTGGTCCAGTATTTTTAATCTCCTTCTGGGCCATATTTGGCTGTTTCCCCTTAGAATTCGGTACCCTTGGACTCCAACATATTCTGTTGTTTTTTCCTCAGGTCCTTGTGTAATTTCCAACTATTTGATTTTGATTCCTGGGGGCTGAATATATGTTAGACAAGAATTAGGCTGATTTAAAAAGTGTTGTGTTTCCCCCATGATTCAGATCGCCTCAACCTCCCAAGTGTGCTCGTGTTGAACAGCTGTGGAATAACATGTGCAGGAGACGAAAAAGAAATTGCTGCCTTCTGTGCTCATGTGTCGGAACTAGATCTTTCTGACAACAAACTCGAAGACTGGCATGAGGTAGTTTTTATATTCCTGCATTTTGGCCACTTCTGCTGAATTCTGGTTCTCACTTGAGATTCTCGTTTCTGTGTCTCAAGATAAATAACTGACTGCTTCAGCTGTTCTGTGGTGATTTTTTCAGTTAACATTGCTATTGCTAATTTGTTTTTCATTAATATGGAAAGCACTGGGGAGCTTTTTTCCAGGTATCAAGAGGTTAATAAGACCACAGAGATTTAGGCTGCTAACAATACATTGGGCTTTTTACTGTCTCACTAGTGTGCACATCCTGTGTTCATTCTGTACCACCACTTCAGCATTTAGTGCTCTAAATTGACATAAAAATTGCTTGAGCTCAAAACTCAGATTACAAAAATATTTATTTTTGGTACTGAAATTCACCCAAATATTTTAGAACTTTTCCTTATTTTATGAAGTCTCCTAGTTGTTTTGACATAACTGATGTCTTTTGACCTCAGAGTAAGGCACACCACGTACACAAATAAAAGTATTACAACATTCTTTCTTATTATTATTATATGTAACATTGCCTACCTGATGATAACATTACCTCATGGAAGCTATGCTTATGAATCAGGGAAAAATAGTTCTTTCTCCTTGATTCATTCCCCTGCCTTAATTTAGGATCTTCTTTCTTGAGAAAGCTTCCTGATGGATTTTCCTGACTCTGGTTTTATTCTGCTTCCCGTAAGCTATCTTCTATAGTGCGACCAGACTCCTTTTAATCAATGAAATAAGATTATGACACTCTTTCTTAAAGTCCTGTAGTTGCTTTTCACTGCCAAGAAACTAAGGCCTGAACTCTCTAAATGTAGCCTTCCACCATATGGCTCTTGCCTACTTTTAGAGCTTTATCTCCATCTTTAGCTGTATGCTTTTTCTTGCAGCTCATGATAAACTCTTGACATGAAAAGCTTCCTTGCTTTTATTCATTCTGAATCTACTGCTCTTTTTCCTTGTCTACCTGATCTCCTCCTATGTATCTTTCAAGACTTGGTCCAAGTCGCTATTCCTCTATGAAACTTTCCCTGGCTCTCGCTCAGGCAGAGGCGGATTATCCCAGTACCTATATCACGATGCTGTGATAAATGCAATCACTTATCACAGTGTAATGCAATCTCTTGCTTACTTGACAGTTTTCCTACCAGACTGTGAGTTTATTCAAAGTAGAGATTTTTGTCTTTATTACCATCAGCACCCAGAGTGTCATACTAGGTACTCAAATGTTTGTTGAATGCATTAATGAACAAATGATTGCATCTTAAGGATTGATCAAGACGACTTGCTTCAACTTTTCCTATGATCTTAAGAAACTCACTTAATCCTTTAGTGCTTCACTTTGCTCAACCCTAAGACAGGGCTGCAGATAAAATTAATCATGGAGGTGCTTTGTAGATATTAAATGCTATACAAATTCTAAGACAGCTTTTTTGTTTGAGAAAAATCTCTTTATAACCTAGTTTTCTTCAGCTTTTCTTACATTTATCTATTTCATAGTCTAGCTTAATCTGATAACTGTGCTTCTGGTTATATTTCCTATTTTTATTGAGATGTTTACCAAATTCTTGGAGATGCATGTTGTTTGATTTTTAAGTGACTTGTTAATATATGCAGATTTACTGGGCTCTTCCAAGAAATAGTCTCTGTACATGTGTTTATTTATTAATTCATTTATCTAAACAACGGGTCTAGTTCACTGTGCCACAAATTATAATCTGTGCCTTCTTGGTCCTTTGAGATGCTTAAGTGACGTGCGTGCTCTGTCCACACTGCACAGATGCCAAAAGAACTGCCTTGTTCATCCTCCTGCCTGATTCCCACAGTAGTCTGCTGCTGAACGTCTGGTGAGAGTTTTTAACCTGCATGGGCGACAAGTCAGACCACATCTTCCTCTGCATCTTTTCACCTATGTTCGTAGGCTGATTCCCTTAAATGTGTTTCTTTGGGAGTGTAAAATTTCAGAAAGGTTTTGTGCTTTGTGCTCTGACCATGTACATAAGCTAGGCTTTTGCCAGCTGCCGACAGTTTCAGTGTTATAGCTGCTGCCTCCGAAGAACAATCTATGTCAATATGGATCAGAACACAAAGTTAACACTAGGCAGTTCAGCCTATTCTCTGCTTAGACAAAGGTCTATGCTAAATATTTTCCAGGCCACATGGACATATATGGACAGAGGGTCCTATGTTCCTTTGTGCTCCATTTGTATCTTCTTACATGTGCTCTATAGTCTGTTTCCAGGCAGTTTTCAAATCAGTCTTCACTGCTCTACCCTTCAGGCTTCTATCTTCCAGTTTATTTTTGTTTTCATCATTCCTTTATTTTTTGTCCTTTGCTTTAACTGTAGTTGATTCCAATCTTCTAGAATATCTATCAGAGCACAGAGAGGTGGGAGAAGTACTGACAGCAGAAGCATATTGATTTTTAGGATTGATTAAACTCTTTGCCAGGCTGCCAATGCCTCAGAGGTCACAGTTTTAAGGCATTACATTTCAACCCCACTGCAACCGTATACCTGATTACCAAAAAGATAATTTGTCCCTGGCCGTTAAGTAAGTTTATTTTGGCCTGTATTTGAGATAGCGATGTGGGACAAAAATAATATAGTTTGTTCTTTGAGTCTTTTGAGTGGTCACTAATGTTATAAGTAACCTCTTTTGTAGTTTAAACTACTGGCTGCTGGATATCCAGAGATAAAGATAAATACCACTGAGCGGTGTTAATACCATGGAGGGAGGCAAAGATCTGTCTCCATCCTTCTAAAATTGGGCGTCCACGTGTGAAAAAAGATGCATTTTTTAGCTCTTGAATTTTGGCTAAGTAATTGTCGTCTCGCCTTTCTCAGGGCATCTCCTTTTTCCTCCCTTCCTTATCAAAACCATTTTATAAAAGAAATTAAACCAAGTAGTTGAGAGGAGAGAGGAATTAGCCCCTCAGCTGAGGCAGAGAATAGCTTGGGTGTAAGTTACAGATGGTTATCTTACAACCCTTTCCCCATTTTTCTTAAAACTTTAGTTTCTTCAATTTTAGAAGCCAGAGTTAGAGGGTCCTCAATTAAATCGTAGAATTGTGGAGACCTAGAAGGTCATGTAAGTTCATCTCCATGTTTCTGCGCATGAGCAACACAGGTTTGAACTGCATGGGTTTGTTTGCATGCAGACTTCTTACAGGACAGTACTGTAAATAAATTTCCTCTTCCTTATGGTGTTCTTAATAATATTTTCTCTAGGTGGGTGGGGGAGGGGCTAAATGGGTGATGGGAATTAAGGAGGGCACTTGTGATGAGCATTGGGTGTTATGTGTAAGTGATGAATCACTAAATTCTACTCCTGAAACCAATATTACACTATCTATTAACTAATTCAAATTTAAATTAAAACTTGAAACATAAAAAAAAAGGTTTGGTGTAAAAGAGGCTTGCTCTTTTTTTTTTTTTTTTTTTGAGATGGGGAGAAAGAGAGAGAGGGCAAGGAGGGGCAGAGGGAGAGACAGAGTACCAAGTAGGCTCCACGCCCAGCACAGAGCCCAGCACAGCTCAGTTCCACAACCCTGAGGTCATGACCTGAGCTGAAATCAAGAGTCATACACTTAACCGACTGAGCCACCCAGGCGCCCCAAGAGGGTCTCCTTTGTGTAAAATTCTAAAATATCTAGAGATGTAAGTGTATATGTTGGAATATGCATACATTTTTTTTTCTGGGAAGAATCACAAAAATTTCATTTGTTCTGTTCAAATATCATAACTGTGAACATTTTGTTATTGTTTTGTTTTGACATCACTGAGGATAGTGGGGGGCTGTTGAATTTATAGTGTTTTTTAGTTTTCTTTATATTTCTCTATATGAAAACAAAATAAAACACGTTACTAAAACAAAACAAAAGCAAAACAAAAATTTTTCTCTAGCTCACTTTATTGTAAGAATACAGTCTATAATACATGCAAAATACAAACTGTTAATCAACTGTTTATGTTATCTGTAAGGCTTCCTGTCCACAGTATGCTGTTAGTAATTAAGTTTTGGAGGAGTCAAAATTTAGCTGATGATTTTCAGCTTTGTAGGGTGTTGGTGCCCCCTAACCTCTGCATTGTTTAAGGGTCAACTGTATCCCTGTAGCTAGACGGGTCTTTTTCTTTTTGATTTTTAGAATTTAAGAAAGGTAAGTCCGTGTACTGTCCCAGAGACTTCTTGAATGTTTGTTTGGCAGACTTTCCTGTTAGGACATTTTTTTTAGTAAATTTCCCTGTGTAATTAATATACTTTCTAAAATCTTACCGTTAATTTAAGGTTACCCCCAAATCCTTTTTAACTTTTGCCTCTTAAAGAATGTATTTATTTATTTATTTCTAAAATACATTATTTTTTCCTGTTTGAATTATTATACTGTAGTCCAGTTGCAATTTTTTAGACTATTCCAAAGCTAATGAGTCATTATTCTAAATGTTTATTATCACGGGACAGCAGCATAGATGCAAAATATGAAGATTTTATCACATAATTTCTGGGAGGATTCCTTCAAAAACCTTTAAATTATCCATTTGGGGATATTTTTTCTTTTTATTATAAAAATAAAATATGAGGAACGGTGGTTAGCAAGAGGTTTATGTTTTGTTTTTATTTAACTGGGGTTATATGATAATTGGTTATTCTTCATGCTGTACTTGGAGTGCAATTCCTCTCCATCTTCTTTTGCCCTTAAAAGAGTTGAAGCCAGGCGGCCGTCATCCCTGTGTGGGAGCCCTTCACAGCGCTGGTATTTAGGCAGTAGAGGACTGATCAGTGTGTGGACCAGTTAGCTGTGTTGTAGCCACAGACTCTACTCCAAACGCTGGCCGTACATCACACAAATGCTTGGTACCATTTGATCACTACAGGGATCAGGCAAGAGAATATGCGCAGACTGGTATAAATTACTCCCATTTTAAACTGAAGCCTAACGTGTTTTTCTCTAAAAAAATAGCTCATTTCTTCATTTGCAAAATGAAGATAAAAATGGTCCCACTTCACAAGGTTAGTATGTGGCATAGCTGAACTAGTACAAGGACCGGCCCCTCTGACCTACTCTGAACCTTCTTGGAATTAGTCCACTTTGCAGTGATTTTAGAGCTCCTGACCTGTGTGGTCCACACAAACCTGAGGTGAAGTGCACATTACTTTTTCTTTCCACCCGTAGTTCTCAACGCTGGCTGCCTTTTTGGCATAACGTATGGAGCTCCGACAAGAAACCGAATCCAGGTCCCAACCATGAAGCTTAGCTAATCTTTGAAGCTCCTGATTTAGTAGTTTATGGTAGAACCTGGGAATTCGTGTATTTTTGAAATTATACCAAGGATTTTATTTTATTTTTTAAAAGATTTTATTTATTTATTTGAGAGAGAGAGAGAGTGAGAGGGAGAAGCCAACTTCCTGCTGAGCAGAGAGCCTGATGTGGGACTCAATCCCAGGACCCCGAGATCATGACCCAGGCCAAAGGCAGCTACTCAACAGACTGAGCCACCCAGGCGCCCCATACCAATGATTTTAAATAGGACATATTAAAATAAAAATAAATACGATATAACATATAACTAGGGTTGACATGTTGGTTCATACTATACTTACTTTGTTAGTTACATTTACTGAATGATTTTGTGCCATTAATTTATTCAGCAAACATTAAGCGCCTACTATGCAGTAGTGAACTAGGTAAGTACTATCCCTGCTTTCATAGAGTTTATATCCTATTAGGGAATAGGTAAGGAAATAAATTTCTAAAAGGTGTACCAATCACTGTGTTAAGTGCTTTACACATGTATCTCATTTAATCCAATCCACAGTCCTGGGAAACAGATGGGTCCTGTTTTCTCTGTATTACAAATGAGAACGCTGAGACCTGGGAAGGTGAAATAACCCATCAGACCACACAGCTAGGAAGTGTTGGAACCTGGTTTGAACCCAGGTTTTTTGACTGTGAAACCAATCCTAACTATTCTGTTGTACTTCTTTTCTCATAAAGTTTAGTTACCACCTTGATGCTTAATCCATTTACTGGGCTTCTAACATTTACTTCCTACTTGTTTAAGCTCGTTCTTTTTTTTTTTTCGGGGTATATTTATAATTTACTAGTGGTGGTATGCTGGAAGAACAATGGTCTGATTTTTATTTATTTTTTATTATGTTATTAGTTTTTGATGTAGTGGCTCTGATTTTTAAATCCTAGATTTGGTTTTTGTGTCGCTGAGACTTTAGTCAAATTATTTAACATTTCCGAGCATCAGTTTCTTCATTATTTAACATGAAAATAGTTATCTTACAAGTTGTTTTGAGAACTGAGTGAAATAATCTGTATCAAAGAGGCTAGTACTATACAGAGCAAATAGTTAAGGTCAGTAATGCTGACTTCCTTTTTTTAAAAAAATCTTGCCTCCGAAGGTGCTAGCTAAATCGTTAAACTGATGATCATGTTTTCTCTTTTCTGATGTAGTTACAGATGCTTTTTGGTTTTTGAGTATATGTATTTTGAAGTGTGGTCATCTTTTAACCAAGCTGAAACTGTTTCTAAGTGATCGTGGCTATGTAGTCAATTTTGAACACTTGAGCTGTTACCATGTGTTCTTCAGTAAACCTTTCTTTAATTAGCCTTAATGTTGTACTGAGGACAGAAGGAAGGAGAAATTCAAAGAGAATTACATGACCCAGTCTCAGCTCTTTAGAAACTTGCAGTCTAAAATGTCCTCTAAACTGTTTTTTTCTCCATTTATCAAAGAGAATATCGTATAAAACAAAATCAAAAACCTCGCCCAAGGCAACATGGAACGTCTTTCTTTTGTACCATTAATTTTCAATTATGTCACTATTTCATAGAAAGATTAAATTATTTGCCAAGATTTGTTGAAATTACTTTTGCCCCTCTGTAGGTACCATCACTAACACAGGACTCCCTAATATGAATGGCCCCTTTCCTAGAGACCCACTCGCTTAAGCTTTGTGAGCATGATTGCTATTTAAAAACTCTGATTACTGCCTGATATGCATTTCTTTTTTTCTCCCTAGGTCAGTAAAATTGTGTCAAATGTTCCCCAGTTGGAGTTTCTAAACCTGAGTTCCAACCCTCTGAATTTGTCGGTTTTAGAAAGAACATGTGCTGGGTCCTTCTCTGGGGTTCGCAAACTTGTCCTCAACAACAGCAAAGCTTCTTGGGAGACAGTCCACACGATACTGCAGGAGTTACCAGAGTAAGCCCAGAGGCATGATGGAGAGGGGGCAATGTCGCCATCTTTGTTAGTACATAGAATTACTGCTGATCTCCCATCTCAGAAACACTAGAACCACAGAATGGACTGAGAGTGAGGTCAGAAGAACGAAGTAATTAGAACGAGGGTGTGAAGGTCATTTAGTAGCGTTTTCATTGCAAGACTTGTTCAGTGTTGAGTAGCACCAAGACATAGGATCTGTCATCCTTTGGCTAGAAAATATCCCTGAGAAGCACTTATCATTTCAACATCAACCTACCCTTTCTCCATTTTAATCTTCTGCTTACCTGATTTGAGAATTTTGCCTCAGTGCTTTTCTTTGGGAGGAAAAAAATCATGGTATCTATAAAATATATTAACACTCAGATGATTAAGTGCCTCGCTGACCTGATGGGAAAATGGAACTCTTTTCAATAATGTAAACAAGAAATTATGTTTTTGTTTGTCAGTTTAGAAATACTTTCTTAGATTTGTTTGTATCTAGCTTAGAGTATGCACGTAAGTGTTCAAAGGAAGTAGTTTAAAGAAATATATGAAACTATAGTTTCTTTGTCTAACTACAGAAATGATCAAGGCCTTTTGAATCTGCTCTCTCCCCATTTATTCCATCCAAGTTTCTCACTATCCCTCTAATGAGATTGGTTTCCTCACCACATGCAGCATCTAGCATGGCGTAGCATGAGCTTTTAAGTCCCAGTTCCACTTACTGCCATATGACCTCTGATAAGGTAATTAGCCTCACTCAGTAAGCTCTGTTTCCTTGTCTGTAAAATGGACATAACTGTATCTACCTTGCAGAAAAAGCAGGACAGTCTATGAAGCACTTGGAGCAGGGCCTGCCTCAGGGTAGGAATTCAGTAAATGATAGTTATTATTTCTGTTTCTAAACATTTTGTTCATGCTGTTCAGGGGATTTTCCTCTATGTCCTTGCAACTTATGCAAGTCTACCCTTCCTTCCAGGCCATGTATTCTTTCCGGAGTATTCTAACTGCAATTTCAGTTCCATTCCTGTATGAACTGCTATTGTACTTGGAGTTAGTAAAGCTTTATTTAGCACTTAGTTATTTAAGCACAAAATTAATTTAGTCCTGGGTTATATCATTCTCTTCTGTTTTATGTGTTTTAGGTTTTGTCTTGCCAGCCGTATTTAAGCTTTAGGAAGACATCTTTATATTTTCTCCACAATCCCTACCAGAGTCTCCCACATAGTAGGCACTTACTGAACAAATGAAAGTAGCTGCAAAGTAGAAACTTAACTGCTTTAAACAATGAAATATTTCCTTTTTTCTCTGCAGTTTGGAGGAGCTCTTCCTGTGCCTTAATGACTATGAAACAGTGTCTTGTCCTTCTATTTGCTGTCATTCTCTTAAGCTACTACATATAACAGACAATAACCTCCAAGACTGGACTGAAATCCGAAAGTTAGGAGTTATGTTTCCTTCACTGGATACTCTCGTCCTGGCTAACAATCATTTGAATGCTATTGAGGAGCCTGATGATTCACTGGCCAGGTTGTTCCCTAATCTGCGATCCATCAGCCTCCACAAGTCAGGTGAGGTCCAGGCTTGTTCTCGTTCTATGTGCAAATCGATCTGAGCTTATGCATGAAATAAATGAAAGCCTATTTCTTGTCGTGGCTCTGCCTTCTTACAGGATTCATTTTCACAAGTGATATGCAGATACCTATTGATTAGCTAAATTTAAGGCATTCGTTTTCATAAATGCTCTGATAAATATCAAGTGGCAGAGCATCCTATTAGCTATTTATATTTTATCTATTGAAGAGGTCCTGCTATGAAAGGAGTGAGATGAAATTGATGAATTGGACAGTAAAATGCAGAGTGGGAGGAGTACGAAGAACTACAAACTAGACTATTTTGTCTGGATTTAGGTTAAGGAATTTCACCCTACTATGCCTTATAAATGCTCACTTTTCTTTTCTAGTATTTATGGATGATCGATTGCCAGTTTGCTGCCATCCGGTTCTGTGTCTCACGGGAATGCATATTTTTAGCCTATTTTTTTAAATTAATAAACTTCATATTTTAGAACAGTTTTAAATTCACAGCAGAACTGGTCAGGAAGTACAGCATTCCCACGTCCTCCCTGCTCTCACATGCACAGCCGTCCCACTGTCATCGTGCCAGCACCAAAGTGATATGTCTCTTGTAATCGAACCTACGTTGTCACATCACCCAAAGTCCACGGTATACATGGGGGTTCACTCTTGGTGTTGTACATTCTGTGGGTTTGGACAAATGTATAATGACATGTCTCCACCTTTATAGTATCATTCATAGTAGTTTCACTGCCCTAACAACCTTCTATGTTCTGCCTGTTCATCTCCCCATACCCCCCAATCGCTGGCAACCACTGATCTTTTTCCTGGCTCCACAGTTTCACCTTTTCCAAAATGTCAGATAGCTGGAATCATGCAGCATGTAGCCTTTTCAGATCAGCTTCTTTCACTTAAGAATATGCACTTAAGTTTCCTCCATATCTTTTCATGGCTTGATAGCTCATTTCTTTTTAGCACTGAGTAATGTCCCATTGTCTGGATGCACCACAGTTTGTTTATCCACTCACAAACTGAAGGACATCTCGGTTGCTTCATAGTTTTGGCATTATTAAAAAAGCTGCTGTAAACCTCCGTGTGCAGGGTTTTGTGTGAACATAAGTTTTCAGTTCACTTGGGTAAATGCCGAGGAGTGCAATTGCTAGATCATATGGTAAGAATATGTTTAGTCTTATAAGATACTGCCAAATGTCTTCCAAAGTGGCTGCACCATTTTGCATTCCCACCAGCAATAAATGAGAGTTTCTCTTGCTCCACGCCTTCATCGGCATTTGGTGCTGTGAGTGTTCTGGATTTTGGCCATTCTAATAGGTGTGTAGTGGAACCTTGTTTAATTTGCATTTTCTAATGACATATATGACACTGAGCATCTTTTCATATGCTTACGTCCCATTTGTATATCTTCTTTGGTGAGGTGTCAGTTCAGGTCTTTTGCTCGTTTTTTTATTTGGGTTGTTTATTTTCTTATTGTTGAGTTTTAAGAGTTCTTTGCATATTTTGGATAACGATCCTTTATCAGATATATCTTTAGCAAATATATTCTTCCAGTTTGTGGCTTTTCTTCTCATTCTCTTGACATTGTCTTTCAGCCTATTTCTTAAAATAACTTCATAACTAAAAATAACTCTAATCTACAATTGAAAAAACATAGTTTAATTTGCCATAGAAGTCATAAGAGTAGGAATTAGGTTTTAAAAACCATTATTTTGCATAAGGAAGCTGGTGATTGCACAACTCGACACCCCTTGAGCTAACTCTGTTCTTCCTCCTAGATGGAAATACCATTCTGAGGGGAAGAGAACAGTTGTGACTTGGGATAGTTATGCACCAGAGCCGTCGTATATTGCCCCTCTGCTTTTGCCCTTGCTGCAGGTGGATAGAAATAGGAAGGGACTGCTTTCTCCGAAATAGATTTAACGTATTATAAAATTGACCAGCTTCGTTATTATAGGCATACTTTTCCTGGCAGTGCCAAGTATCGACTTGGATGATATATTTGCTCACAGCTATAAGAAGAATATTTTTTTTTAGCATGAAACAGTTTTAATTTGTTGCATGTTCTTCTTACCCAATGGTTCAGGTTCTCTGTTTTTGTTTTTATTTGTTTTACTTTTAAAATCTGTTTTCCCTGTCCCCAAAATGAGGACAGTTTGTAAGAAAGATAATACTTAGTTTTTGGTTCTACTGAACTTGCCCCATTTTAGAATTTGTTAGGTAAAAATTTGAGTCTGACAGTATCAACTCTGATCAGTAGTTCTGTTCTGTGAGTCTGTATTTGATGAAAGAGTTGACCACATCACCTTTTTTATGTAATCACGGCATATGTCTTACTTATTGAAAACACCAGAGACCCTCTTTACAAATCCTTTGGGGGGAGAATCAGTACATTCATGGGATGCTGGAAGTAAAGTTCTATCTCCTTGACCACGGGGATCACAGGGATACGGGAGGCTATGGGGAAGTTTTTATGGTGTTTAGCTGTATTCTGTTCTTTTCTTGGATGAAGAAAATTTTCAGGATCTCTAACTAGATTATAAGGACTTTAACATTTCAGAAATTAATTGAAGTAATTTTTTTTTTATGTTCATCTTCTTATTGGTGTGCTTTTATGGATTTACTTAAACAATATATTTCTCAAATTAGGTTTGCAGTCCTGGGAAGACATTGACAAACTAAATTCATTTCCCAAACTTGAAGAAGTGAGATTGTTAGGAATTCCTCTTCTGCAGCCATATACCACCGAGGAGCGGAGGAAATTGGTAATAGCCAGGTCTGTTGTCCTGATTACTCTCCTTTCTTCTCTCGGGCCTTGTTTCATTAGAGGGACAATGCACTATTGGGGGGAGTGCACTGTAAGTTTATCTGTCTCTTGAACAGACAGTGCTTGAAGGAGCTGCTTCTGTAGCTTCAAATCCTAGAAGAAAAGAAACACAATATGGTAAGAAAGATGTAAAAGGTAATTGGCTTGCCAAGACCACTGAAACATTCCCTCACAAATCTATTCTCTTTTTATACTTTTTAATATTTACAATATTTGAAGTCCTATTTTGGATTATGAAGAAAAATTAGGTGTGATAGAGAATGAGTTCTATTTTAGTTGTCTTTATTTTCTCTGTTTAACATAGTGGTAATGTAAAGTATAAATTTTATGTAAAAACTGGGCTGTTTCATTAGTGTGAAACTTAAGAGAGCAGCATCTGTGTTTTCGTCTTGAATACAGATTGACTCAAACATGACCACCGCATCGTTATATTCTTCCTCTGACTCCCCAGCCTTTTGTGTCACTGACTCTGCCTCCCTAGACCATTGAAATGAGTGTTGATTTAGGTTTGAGCCTTCAGCAACGATAAGATTATGGCTAAGATGTAAAGGGCCATGGAGCTTTCATTCGTTTTCTTTGTGTACTATGCATAGTAGTTTTGAAAGGGGCTTTACAGTTCCCTAAAGAAGAGTGGTTCTTCAAACAGGGTGTTGATCTTCCTGCCCAGCTAACACCTAGCAGATCCTTAGTGCTTTCCGGTTGTGGACATACATGCTAATATGTCACTGAAGAAATACATTTCAGCATACTTTTCTTCTAAAAAGAATAAGGCTTGTAGTAGACCTTATGCTTTATTTTCTTTACATAATTCCTTTGTAAAGATAATAAATTAATTGCTGAACAATAGAACCCATTTGTCCTGACTACTTGGAGACCTGCGCTGTCCACTATGGTGCTGTTAGCCCTGTGTGACTTTTGAGCACTTGAATTATGGTTATTCTGAACTGAAAGGTGCTCTAAGTGTAAAATATATACTGGCCTTCGAATACTTTATATGAAAAAAGAATGTAAAATATCCTCTTAGTTATTTTTTAGTATTGATTGCAGGTTGAAATGATTAAATCCTCGATCTATTGGATTAAATAAAATATATTAATAAAACTATCTCACCTGTTTTATTTTTATTTTTTTAAATATGGCTATTAGAGAATTTAAAATTATATATGTGGCTTGTATTATATATTTAAGTTGGACAGTGCTGGCTAGAATCTTATTTTGAAAGGTAAGGTATAACTATAAAAGGTCAGTGTCCCATGTAAAAATGAAACTTTAGATATTTTTGGTCCTTTTATTCTATACCACTTTAGTTCATGTAAGTAGTTGTACATGAGCAGAGTTACATCAAACGTGTCCTCTCAAGAGAGTAAGACGGGGCCTCAAACCAATGATTTTATTTCTAAAGCTAAATATTCTCATTGTCTTAAAATGCCTTTATTTTGGTTTTTACTTACAGATTGCCATCAGTTTCCAAACTTAATGGCAGTGTTGTTACCGATGGTGAGCGAGAAGATTCTGAGAGATTTTTTATCCGTTACTATGTGGATGTTCCACAGGAAGAAGTGCCATTCAGGTAAAAACCCCTCATCGGTTTAACAACATTTTAGCAAGTATTGAGGCAATTTAAGAACCGTTGTTTTAGAGCAAATCTAATAATTTGTTACTGGACCCTCTTAGAGGACTTTGGTGATAGGTAAAAAAAAAAAACAAACCAAAGAAACACAAAGCAAACCCATTTTATCTCATTTTCCACAGTGTATTTCTTCTAGCCTTGCACTTGTATTAAGAATGTTTGGGTAAGTATCCGACTACTTCCACTCCATACTCCATATCATTGATTCCTGTTTGAGCCTCTTCTCCAGGGACACATCTCCACCTACCCCCAAAACTGGTGTCTTCTTTCACATTGATCTGCTTTCAGGATATACTAAGTTCTGCAGTTTGGAAGATTTGGCAAATAGGCATTAGGTTTAGAGAATAGAGGACTAGAGAACAGACTCTTTGGGGAAATACTAAAGGAATTAGGATGGTTGAGTATGAAGAGAAATGCTGAGGGCTGAATTTGTAATTGCCTTCAGTATATGAAGAGGTAATATACATGGTTTGAGGAGGAACTGCCTTTTTTTATATTCATTTATTTTTTTTATTTGAGTGTGGTTGGCACACAATGTCACGGTCGTTTCATGTGTACAACATGGTGATTCCATAAGTTTCTGTGTTGTGCTGTGCTCACCACAAGTACAGCTTCCATCTGTCACCACACACCACTCTTACAGTACCGTTCATTATATTCCCTGTGCCGTGCCTTCTAGTCATGCCATCGCTGGAAGCCTGTATCTCCCACTCCCCTTCACCCATTTTGCCCATCTCCCAGCCCCCTTCTCCCTGGCAACTGCCAGTTCTCTGTATTTGTAGGTCTGATTCTGCTTTTTGCTTGTTTGTTTTGGTTTTTAAGTTCCACATATAAGTGAAATTGTATGGCATTTGTCTTTCTCTATCTTATTTATTTCACTGAGTATAATATCCTCTGGGTCCATCCATGTTGTCGCAAATGGCAAAATCTCATCCCCCCTTCTTTTTGGCTTAATAATATTCCATTGTGTGTGTACGTGTGTGTATTTGTGTGTGTGTCTGTGTGTGCCACATCTTCTTTATCCGTTCATCTATTGATGGACACTTGAGTTGCTTCCATATCTTGGCTATTGTAAATAATGCTGCAGTAAACATAGGGGTGCATACATCTTTTCAAATGAATGTTTGTGTATTTTTTGGGTAAATACCCAAAAGTGGAATAGCTGGATTATATGGTAGTTCTATTCTTCATTTTTTGAGGAACCTCCACATGGTTTTCCACAGTGACTGCACCAATTTACATTCCCACCAACGGTGCATGACAGCTGGGAAGGAGCTACATTTAATACTCCATAAATGTAAAGGAAATGTAGCAGGTATGATATAGGTAAAACACACGGAAAAAAAAATACCCCCCAAAACTGGTTTCTAGGTTTTGGTAACTAGAACCACTTACCAAAAATGTTATATGCTTTCCTTAATAACTTTAACAAATAATATGAAATCACATTAGACAAATAGGATGCAAATTAGGAGTGTGTGTGAGTCAAATCAGTTGGTCCTTCTGGTTACAAATCTCTGCAATTCTAATTCATTCTTACTAAAGATACCTAATTTTCCCCAGACTTTTCCATTATTTACAAGCTTTGAGGGGGTTAACCCTCTGTAAGGCTTAATCAGTACTCTATAAAAAGATTTTGTGATTTGGTTAGTAGTATTTTAAAGCCTAAACTCATATGTGGAACATAAGCAATAGCACAGAAGGCCATAGGGGAAGGGAAGGAAATCTGAAGGGGGAGAAATCAGAGAGGGAGATGAACCAGGAAAGACTATGGACCCCAGGAAACAAACGGAGGGTTTCAGAGGGGAAGGGGGTGGGAAGATGGGGTAACATTGTGATGGGTACTAAGGAGGGCACGTGTGTGATGAGCACTGGGTATTATACGCAACTAATGAATCATTGAACACCACATCAGAAACTAATGATGTACTATACAGTGGCTAACTGAACATAATAAAAATAAATAAATAATACATTTTGTTCATTAGCAAAACTAAATAAAAAATAAAGCCTAAACATTTAAAAAATTAAGAATTTTGAAGATTGCTTTTTAAAGTTAGCTAAGAACAACCAAGTAGGGAGAAATAAATATTACTATGCCTTTAATACAACCTAGAAATACCAGGGTAAGCAGCATGGATTTTGTTTTGTTTTGTTTTGGTAAAAAATAGTCTAATATCTATAGTTTCATTTGATTCCGTCTAACTTATTAGTGGGAGAAGTAAAGATTTGGGCTTTGAGCATAAGTCCATCATTACAGTTTATTTAATTTCATCTGCTACAGGGACTAGTGCATATATACAGGGAGTATGTTGTTTTCTGTCCTGATAGCATAATTATCCTAAAGTGGATAAAGGCCTCTGCACTGGTCTATGTTCTTAAATGCAGGTCACAGAAATCATCTTCAGTCATAGGAGGAATTTATTAGAAGGATGTTGAGAAACTACAAGAATTGTTAGGCAAGCTGAGTAACCAGATGTAGACAGGAACCGGGGGCAGCAAGGACAGCCAAGGTTTCACCTTGTAGTTGGCCCCATGTGTCTCTGCTGACACTGTCCTCCCTAGACACCACAAGGCCAGGCTTTCACCCCGGATGCTTGTAGCTGTACCACGGGCTGTGCTGAAAATGATCGCTCACTGACCTTTGCCTCATTCCCCAAGGATCAGAAATCTGTGACCAATTGATTGGCTATGTTGAGGGTATGTGCTCACATATTGTCTTCAGAGAGATAGGGAGAGGAAGGTAGAATCTTCCCCTGTCTTGGGACATTTCCCCAAATAGGAACAATTCAGCAAAAAGAGCATCTCTTGTAGTCTGCCACTTTGACTATCCAACATCTATGCGTATACCTTTTCCCCATAGTTGTATATATAAAAAAATTATTCTCACCTATCCTGATGTAGTCCTTTTACAAATGAAAACACTTCTTTCTCCATGAAATGAGATAACCTATTTATTCTAATCCTAAAGACTGTGACCAATTAGCTACTGTAAAAGATTCAAGCTATTTTAATTACCACTCTGGCCTTGCTGCCTGTTTATGTAATGATGCCTACTTTACCACTCACTAGTGGTTAAATGTCACTGCTTAGTCTCTTCCATTCTTCTTGAAATTGAAGTGGGCAAACTGATTTCAGTATCTTCCTGGCCTATAAAATATATTTCAAAGATGTGAGTGTTCTACTCAGTAATGTATTTTTCAAGGCCTTGGTAAAAGAAGTGTCTTCTGGGTCCTTTTAGGGTTCATGGGTGGAGAATGGGTAAGAGGTCATGGGTGACAATAATTTCCATGATTCCTGTGTCCTGAAGTGTTTTATTTTCTCCTCTACATTATCCCCCAAATTCATGGCATCTCAGCTTCCTTTAGCATAGACCACCATGAGTCCAATTTCTAATCATCCAACTAGATGAAAATTTAGAACCACTCCCAGCTACTGAAGCTAGCTTTTTGAACTCAGAATCTCTGGTAATGTACCGATATCAACAACATCAGCGAAATCTAAAATTGCTTCTCCTTTCTTGATCAGCATGCTCAGAATCTGTTCCTTTACTAATTTCCTATATTTTTGTCCATATAACCAAACTCTTATAATTCTTTTGATGTGTTTGTAGTCAACCCCACAGAGCATGCCGTGATCTGATGGTAGGAGAGCGGAGTGTATATGTGGAAGGATGAGGCAGGTGGGAATTCATTTACTCTTGCAAGCTAATTCCCTTAGTCAGGGGGATTTTACTGCCTCCTTAAGCAAGAGAGGAACACTCTCATTCAAACTGCTCACAAGAGGGCCTACGTGAGGATTAGGGATTCAGGATGTTCCCATCCCTCAGCGTCTTCCTGTATGTAAACCTCCACTCCAATTCATTCTCCCCCCACCCTGCTCTCTTTCCAACCAGTGCTTCAACTTTCACATAATCGTCCCAATATGGATACAAATTTAACTGATCTGTAATTCAGCAATCTGGAGCATCAAACTGTGCATTGTTTTTATAGCTACCTCAGCTTTATTGTTGTAAGAGAGAAAAGAGCCTTTTCTTAAAAGTACCTGGGTTTCAGTCTGTGCTTTGAGCCTAGTTCATAGGTATTCAACCTTAATATTCTCTTGATTTAGGCTGTCTTGTGCCTTTAGAATAGCAGATGCTTTACTTCATAGTCTTGCCTTCTTCCTGCCCTTCACATTGGTTTATTCATGGCAGCACTCTCTCAATCACCTGGAGCTTTCCATGGGACCACAAGTGGTCAACAGTTTTTTCACTGCTCCTTGTTAAGACCTTTGCAGAATCTCTTCCATGAACACTAATACGACACTCACTGGGCCCTACTAGGCCAGAAACCAATTTCAAATTGCCTGTAATTATCTGAGGGGCTCTGGCTGATGATCTCTCTGCTGCTGATTTCTTAGTTCATGCAACAAAAACCAACTCTGGCCAACTTAAGTAAGGTAAGAAGTGAGTAAAAGAATAATGAATACTGTGTGGCTCACAGAATTGACAAGAAGATTAGAGAATTAGGCTTGGGCAGGATTGATGGAAAGCCGGGCACAGCCAAGATTTCTGTATCTCACTCTACAGACAGTATGCTTCTGACACTGCTCACCAGCCAGTCATCACACACTGCTAGACTTCATTGCCTCCTGCCCCACCCCACGACATTTATAGCTATGCCTTCGAATTCTTGATTCTTCTATATCTGCTCTGAATAAGCTTGTTAGACCTCGTGTCTTTGTATTTACAGTTGTGGTTAGGTAGGTTTGTTACCTTTCTGTGTTCTGGCTTTCAGGGAAAGAAGAAAGAGAACATTTACTTCTCTTTAGCTTCTCTAGTGGAAAGTAGTTCCTCCTTCTTGTCTATCTTGGGTTTCCCCCAATTCAGAAGGGCATTCAGATGCTGGATAGCCAAAGTTGACATATATCCACTGTAATACCTGTTCCCTAATAGTTTT